TGTCAGAGCGATTCGTGTCAAACATGTCGGTTGAAGGTTTTTAGGATAAAAACGCCTTACGAGCGAAGGGTAGGCAAACCCGGCCGACAGCCGAGCCGAGCGGACTGCCTACCCAACATCCGCCGCCGGCTGCAGGACGACTCGCGTGGGCGCCGGGAGCAGGACCGGGTGGACCAGCAGGGCCAGCAGCACCAGCAGGGCCAGCAGGACCAGCAGGACCAGCAGGACGCGCAAACACAACACGATTTAGGACTTTCCTTTCCGATGCATCGATTGGATTGGCGCGACGCCGCCACTTTCGCTGCTACCGGCTTTGAACTCGTTGATGATGTATCGGGGCAAGAGTTGTTTTGGTGTGGTCCACATATCAGCTGCTGACCGGTGTGAGTGTGTGAGAGAGATGGCAGGATGGCGAGGCGCGTCTTCGCGGCGCGAGTGCGAGAGAGAGAGAAGAGGGGGGGGGGGAAGCAGAGGGGGGCCGTACCCGCGGATGCGCGCGGCACGAGCAGAGCATCGGCAGCCGGCTGACACGAAAGCGAAAGGAAGGCCAAAGTCGCGGTGGGCCCGGCGCGGCCCGGCCCGACCCGCGGGAGCAGAGCGGCCAATTAGACGCACGGAAAGGACGCCCCGCGCACCACATGGGGCGGCGTCCTCGCCAAGGTCCTCCTCCTCCTCCGGGGTGAACCACTTTCTTCACGACGACGACGCCCGCCCGACCAACCCGACCCGACCCACCCGTCCGCCCGCGGGACGGCTGCTAGAGAGAATCGAGAGAAGGCACTCTCGATTAGGATCGGGAAGCTCAAGGCGCGCGGGGTGCTGCTCGCCCACACAACATCACACACCACCACCGACCGCCACACACACGTCATAGCACATCAGGCGCGGGTAGGCCGTGTGTCTTCATTAGGGGGGCGCGGGGTGGTGGTGGAGTCCGAGAAAGCCTTATGGCGGCTCACGTGACGCGGGGTATCGCCTCGTCCGATAGGCCCCATGGCCCGCCGCTCACGCACCCGGGCGGCGGCAGCACCGTTATAGCCGAGGCGTTAGCCGCGCGCTGAAGGCTCCATACCACGACGGGGCTAATTTAAATACATCGAGGAGGTAATTCGAAGGGAGCCGCGAGGAGCAAAGAGGCTCCCTGTCGTCCCCGTCAGCGGGACCCGCCGCCACTCTACCCGCCCAGGCTTTACGACACGGCCGTCAAGCCTGCCCGGCCCGAGAGCGTCTCGCATCCTCTATCGCCCCGCTTACCGCCTTACTTTCTTACGTACCTCGTTTTTACAACGCGACGCAAATGTCGCCATTTCCATGGGCGGCTAGGAGGACGGCCGGGGTACTCGGGCGGGCTTGGGGCCTGGGCGGGCGGCGGGAGACGGCCGGGTAGCCGACGCTGACGCCAACGGGCAGCACGTATACGTTACCTCTTTGATTTACTACTACAGCCGCAACAGCGGCCTGCTGCCGGCTCCGTCCGGCTTGCTCTTCCCTTCCCTTCCGGCCGACCAAAAGCAGCTGCCGCAACCCATCACTTACATTACTTTCAAATCAATTTTCGTCCGGCCGTGTGTCTAGTCCCCTTGTTGTTCCCGCGCCGGGTAGGGCAGGGCAGGGCGGCGAGAACCGATGGGTGTCGGGGAGACTTTCTTCGTAATTACCACATTGGGGCGTTGCCGGGCCGGCGTTGCCCGAGGCTCCTCCAATAACGTTGTTATTGTCAGCCTCAAACAGCTCGCCGGCGGCCCGCCGCGGCCCCGCGTGGCCGCCAGAGGTTGGGCCCCAGGGCCAGAGGGGCCGGGCCGGGCCATCGGCAGTGCTACACCGCCGGGCCGGGCCGGCCGCGCCGCGGTGCACGGGGCGGCATAAGGCAACAATTACCAATTACGTCTCAAGCATTCCGAAGGCGCTGCGGCTCCTCCCTCGCTACGCGCGGCGCAGACGCACATGAAGTCATAAAAAGACACCTTTCCCCTCATATCTGTCTTCCTGCCCCCCTCCCCTCTATCATCATACCGTTTTCGCCCCCCGCCGCGTGGGCCGCGCCAGCGCACTGGTGGCCTTTCTGATGGGCGCTGATCAAACAAGCCGGCCCCCCTGGGCGCGGCGGTCCCCACAGCAAATGGTCGACGAGACGAGCCGGCGCCTGCCTCCACCCGGCTCCACAGCATCCGTTGGTCCTGGTCCTCGTCCTGGTCCTGGTCCCGGTCCCGCGAGTCACCCCCGGCCTGCAGCTCGACGGGGCGCCCGCTCGGCTCTCGGCCTACGGCCCGGCCAGGGGCGCTGTGCGGGGAAAGTGTGAGCCAAGTCCAGATGCAAAGGTTGTGCCGCGCCACGCCGCGCCACGCTGTTCACATGGCAAACAGGGCATTATCGCCCGGCGGGTACACGGGCGGGGGCGCGCCGAGGCGGGCGTGGGTGCGAACACATGCACGTACAAGCTGCGCTCCCCTCCCCCCTCCATCTCCCCTCTGTCTCTGATGCATTGCATCGGATCGTTCTCCCTTCTCCCTCCTCCTTCCCCTCTTGCCCCGCTGCTGGCTGCAGCAGTTGCTGCGTCGTGTCGTACGGCGGTCCCCTTCCTCTCTATCGCGCGCTCTTCCCATTGTTGTTTGATTAGACTTCGTTACCAGATGCGTATCGATTACTTTCTCCTGCTCCCGCTTCGTCGATGAGATGAGGCGGCACATTGCGATACACACGTTTGTTGCGTCAGAAGGGCAGTGAGTGGGAGCAGCGCGGCCCCGCGCAGCAGTCTCGGTGTTCGAATCGAAACCTTTTTCTGAAAACACATAGCAAAACACCCGTGCCCGAGGTGTGGTTTTGGAGGCCGTGCGATTTGACGCCGTGCACACTGGAGGCACACAGTCCGACGCAGTTCCCAGGGCGCGGCAGGGCAGAGCCGGGCAGGGCGCTGGTCGCGTTTCACAACCACGTGACCTCGGGTTGTGCGCGCGCGCGCGCGGGTCGCGGAGTGGCCATAACTGTGTTTAGCGCCGGGCGCGCGGCGCGGCGCGGGCGGCAGCGACAAGCCACTCCCCGGCCTACCCAAAGGTCAGGAGGCTCCCTCTAGCGGGGCTGCGTCCGAAGTCTTGAGGAGGACATGTGACTCCTCTTCTCTCCCTCAGCGACCTGAGCATCGCCTGCTTGCGCAGAACCACCCAGAGCCGCCCAAGAGCAAATAAAAAGTCGTCACCTTTTCGTCAGAGCGCATTGCCCGTTGCCCTAACCGTTTTTATTTTTCTCTCTCTCCCCTGCAGACACGTTCCTCGGCACGGAGCCCGGAGCGGACCGAGTGTTCCGGGGCTCCTTCCGGGTGTCGCGGGGCGACAGCTTCTTGCCGCCGCTCGCCGACCCCAGCACGTCGCAGTTCAGGGAGCGGGCCAGGAACTACCGGGAGCGGCTCAACGTGCTGTTCAGGAGATCCCCCGTGCGGACGGGCTTCGTGGGCACGGAGGTGCTGGCGCTCGACGGGTAAGAGGCGTGCCGCAATCAGGGAAGCAGCCGCGGGGCGCCCCCGGTGCACCCGCAACTGCAAATAGAATTCAGTAAAAGGACCGTCCGATCACCCGAACGACTCGGCGAGGCGGGCCGAAACTCTCGGTTGGTGGTGCTGAACCTTTCTTCTCTTCCGCAGGGTCGAAGGCGAGGACCTGGTCGTGCACTTCAACCTGCGCTTCGACCCGTACTACGGCGCCGACGTGCGGGTGCCCGACCTGCTCCGCATCATGCACACCGTCACCATCAACGCCACGGCCGCCCCCATCCTGGACGGGCTCCAGGTCGACCCCGCGTCCCTGCTGTTCCGCGAGGAGGGCGACGCCACGAGCGGGACGGCCGGACCCAGGACGTCCACGACGCCGGCCACGACCACGACCACGGAGCCGCCGCCGCCGCGGCGCTGCGCGCCCGTCGAGCTGGACTACTGCAGGCGCGGGCTGCCCTATAACGCAACGTCCTACCCCAACGTGCTGGGTCACAAGGTGAGGGAGCAATTCAGTTCTAGCTGGCGGGTGCCTCTGATCCCACGACGCGGTCCTCGTCTAACACTTATACTCCTGTCCCAGGACTACGCCGCGCTCCGAGAGGACGTGATCGCGTTCCGCGAGCTGGTGGACGCCGAGTGCTACCGCCTGGCCTTCGAGTTCGTGTGCCAGGCGCTGCAGCCCGAGTGCGTGCCCCGGCCGGGGCTCATGCGCGGCCCGCAGGTCCCCGCCATGCAGCAGCCCCTCGTCGAGGACCTCATGGTGCCGCCGTGCCGCTCCTTCTGCCGGGACTTCATGGCGGGCTGCGGGTCGCGGGTGCCGCAGCGCTTCCGCGAGGCCCTGCAGTGCTCGCGCTTCCCCGAGTACTCGGGCCCGGGATCCTGCGCCGACCGGCCCGGCGCCGTGGACGTGACCGAGGCAGCGCCGTCCACCCACTCGGCCTCGTCCACCACCCCGGCGGCCGCCGGCAGCCGGCCCGGCAACACGACGGGGGCGGCGTGCCTGGCGGCGCTCAGGGCGGGCCCGCTGGCCGGCCGGGTGTGCGACGGCGTCCCGGACTGCGCCGACCTCGCCGACGAGGCGGACTGCGGCTACTGCCCGCGCGGCGGCCTGCACTGCGGGCTGGGCGGCGGCCGGCCGCACTGCGTCCACCAGCACCAGCGCTGCGACGCCAAGCACGACTGCCCGGGCGGCTCCGACGAGAAGCACTGCTGTGAGTGGACCCCTACATACGATAAGGCGCTCAATGAGTCTCCGCACTCGCGGCCGCCTCTATCGCCTCCCCCCTCCCGCTCCGTCTAATTGCGCGAAGTGGTCCGCACCGCCCACCGAGTCAGGATGGCCGAGCGGTCTAAGGCGCTGCGTTCAGGTCGCAGTCCACTTCTGTGGGCGTGGGTTCGAATCCCACTTCTGACACTACCTTTTTTTCCTTTTCATTCTTTTCTGAGCGCGAGGCGGGGAGAGCGGTAATTCGATCCCGCGCGATGCTAATTTTCCCGACCCCGCGAGATTACGAAAATGTTTAGCGCGGCTGCAGCGCCGCGACGCAACAGCGGGTGGGCTGCCGGGCTGCTGCGGGTATCGCTCCCGCCACATCGCCGCGCGCCGATAGCCGCGCCGATATTACGTCAGATTAGGCCCAACCCCTCGGAATGCATTTGATGGACGATTTCCCGTCAACGTTGGCGAACAGCCCGGCGAGCCTAAAGGCGGGCCGCGGGGCGCGCGGGTCGGGTCAATCGGACGGGAATATCTCCGCGCGGGGCCGGCAGTGCGTGGCGGCGGCGGCCCACGACGGCGGCGGCCCTGAGCCACATCGCGGGGCTTAATCCCCTTTCTCTGAAGTCCTCATCAGGCAGGGCCCCGGTGCGGCTGATCCGCCGTGTGCGTGGCGCGCCGGTATGTTTCCAGTTTCCACCACTAACGCGCGGGGGCGTAAGACGCTTCTCCACGGACCCGCGCGCGGACGGGACAGGCGGAGCCAGGGGCTTAAAGCTTACCTGCGCCGTACTCCACACGAGGGCCAAACCTCCTGAACCACCGCCGGTGCAGGGACCCTCCCAATCATGTGGGAAGCATCTCCGGGACGCTTGCTGCGGGGCCTCGTGGTGGCGGCCTACTTCATTTTGGCACTCACACGCGCACACAAAGATATAAAAAAAAAACGTGTTATCATACCAGATGCGCTTCATTCGATGTTAATTTGAATCGCTAAAAGAGGATTTGCATCAGGAAATTTTTGAAGGAGAAATATATGCAAATTATTTTGAAACTGAAAAGACATAAGATACATGCATGGCATGAATGCGAGCATGAATGACAACATGGCTTTATACTATTAGATTCACTGCGATTCTCACGATGCCATGTTTTTCCTCATTTAAGTTGCCCAGACAGCAATTTATAGCTGCTGCCGTTGTTCTCCGGCGGGCTGCTCACACACACAATTTGCTTGGCGAAAACAACGATATCCAACCGGTCAATAACTCATCTCGATTCTCACGGCTCCGAACTACTACTACAATTATTCCGCCCCCTTTTTGTCGTTTTTTAGACAGGCCTTCAAAGACTGTCTCTACCAGAAGGAGAAAACTGCCCC